TTTCGGACGTTGGCGGACCTTCCTGCTGTATCTGCAGGGGTCGTGTCCCAAATCGTTTCACGCTCCGCTGGGACGTTCTGTCCCCCTGAACTCACTCAACCGTCTCTCCACAGAATCTGGTCCGTGTGGGCAGCGCCATCCTCGCTCCAGACACGCGGCCACACTGGGAGCTCATCCAGAACTCCGAGGGCGGCACAGCCGCACTGCTGCGACACTTTGAGGAGTACGCGAATACGCTGGCGCAGAACATGAGGAAGACCTACCTCAGCCCCTTCACCATCGTCACGCCAAACATCGGTAAACGGTCGTTCAGTCAGTTTGTCAGTGAATGAATGAATGAATAACTGACATGTAATTATGTTCTGGTTATGTTATGTTCTTTTGTTTTTTTTTCTATTATTTTTTAATTTATTTTTTATTTTTATACCTATATCGTATATATATATATAAGTATATATATGTACATAAAATAATGAATTAAAAATTATTTTTTATTTAGTTTATTAGAACACTTTTTTTTTAGTTTATTGGTTCCTACAAGAGACTAGAAAATACTAATTTTTGCTGTTGCCTCCTCATCTCCAGTCATCTCCGTGGACCGTCTGAAGAAAATGAATTTTGCCGGAGCGAAGCTCCCTCGGTACCAGTCCCTCCGAGGCCCCCGCCCCGTGGATCAAGAGACGGCCGTCACACTGCCCGATTCGGTCTTTCAACCCCCCGTGGACACCAAGGGTCACAGACACCTGGATGTGTTTCCCGAGTCCACACTGAGGAACCGCTCGACTCACAGAAAGAAACGCCACCCTGAGGACAGTCAGCAGGACGCGGTGGCCAGTGTCATCATCTTCCACAGTCTGGCGTCGCTGCTGCCAGAGAGTTACGACCCGGACAAGAGGAGTCTGCGGTGAGACTGGGAATGATTGACAGCTGGACTGTCCAATAAAAGGCCTGGTCTAATTCCTCTACATTATTTTTAACATTTTTATTTTTTGTCTATTTTTTTTATTTTTTTATTCTTCAGTGTCCCTAAGCGGCCTGTTATCAACACACCAGTGGTGAGCATCACAGTGCACGACAACGACGAGCTGCTGCAGCACGCACTGGAGAAACCCATCACTGTGCAGTTCCGCCTGGTCACCACTGAGGAGCGCTCCAAACCCATCTGTGTCTTCTGGAACCACAGCATTCTGTGAGTACACTGTAACAGACAGACACAGTCGCACAGAGTTGAGCTCCTCACACCTGACCTTTGACCTCATTTTTGCTGTTGCCTCCTCATCTCCAGTCATCTCCGTGGACCGTCTGAAGAAAATGAATTTTGCCGGAGCGAAGCTCCCTCGGTACCAGTCCCTCCGAGGCCCCCGCCCCGTGGATCAAGAGACGGCCGTCACACTGCCCGATTCGGTCTTTCAACCCCCCGTGGACACCAAGGGTCACAGACACCTGGATGTGTTTCCCGAGTCCACACTGAGGAACCGCTCGACTCACAGAAAGAAACGCCACCCTGAGGACAGTCAGCAGGACGCGGTGGCCAGTGTCATCATCTTCCACAGTCTGGCGTCGCTGCTGCCAGAGAGTTACGACCCGGACAAGAGGAGTCTGCGGTGAGACTGGGAATGATTGACAGCTGGACTGTCCAATAAAAGGCCTGGTCTAATTCCTCTACATTATTTTTAACATTTTTATTTTTTGTCTATTTTTTTTATTTTTTTATTCTTCAGTGTCCCTAAGCGGCCTGTTATCAACACACCAGTGGTGAGCATCACAGTGCACGACAACGACGAGCTGCTGCAGCACGCACTGGAGAAACCCATCACTGTGCAGTTCCGCCTGGTCACCACTGAGGAGCGCTCCAAACCCATCTGTGTCTTCTGGAACCACAGCATTCTGTGAGTACACTGTAACAGACAGACACAGTCGCACAGAGTTGAGCTCCTCACACTTGACCTTTGACCTCTGGTGTGCACGTCTTCTTCAGCGGCGGTAGCGGCGGCTGGTCAGCGAAAGGCTGCGAGGTGGTTTTCAGAAACAGCAGCCACATCAGCTGTCAGTGTTATCACATGACCAGCTTCGCCGTGATCATGGACATCTCCAGAAGAGAAGTGAGTCGACACAGATCACCGATCATCACTGATCATCACCGATAATCATTTGTCACATTTTTTTTGTTGTTGCTAATTATTACATTTGTGTCAGAACGGAGAGATCCTTCCGATAAAAATCCTGACGTGGAGCACCGTGGGTGTGACTCTGGGCTTCCTCTTCCTCACCACCGTCTTCCTCCTCTGTCTGAGAGCCATGCAGAGCAACAAGACCAGTATAATCAACAACGGAACCACCGCCCTCTTCCTCTCGGAGCTCATCTTCATCCTGGGCATCAACCAAGCTGACAACCTGGTAAACAATTAGTGTCTGCCACCACCAGGCTGCAGCCTGACTTACAGTTACACACACACACACACACACACACACACACTCTGATGTGCTCCTTCCTGTGGTCACGTCTCCGTTCCAGTTTTTCTGCACGGTCATCGCCATCCTGCTGCACTTCTTCTACCTCTGCACTTTCTCCTGGCTGTTCCTGGAGGGGCTGCACGTTTACCGCATGATCAGCGAAGTGCGAGACATCAACTACGGACCCATGAGATTCTACTACCTGATTGGCTGGGGAGTGCCTGCCTTCATCACAGGTCTTGTTGCAGGAAAACCATAACATTGCGAGAAAGACACACACTGAGCAGCTGTAGAAGAAAGTGGAAAATAGAAAATACAAAAAGAGGGCAGCATTGCTGCACATGAAAACAGCGCCATACACCCCTAGTGGCCAGTAAAAAGAAACAAGGGGGTTTTCGGAATTAGGAATTTTGGCAATTATGAATTCCATTTAAAATAAATGGATGTGTATGATGATGACTTAGACCTCATTTTAATTTTTCTCTGATCGAGGAACATTTTCCCTTTTGACTACATTATTGTAAAAAATAATATTATTTTTTTCATGATACAAAACACACAAAAAACACATATTTGTACATCTTAGTATAATGGAAGAAATGCTGTTGTAACACATACCACAGAAGAAAAGGATGAAAGTTTAACGTTTACCTTCTGTCCATCTGTGCCCGGCTGCAGGTCTGGCCGTGGGACTGGACCCAGAAGGTTACGGGAACCCAGACTTCTGTTGGCTGTCCATGTACGACACTTTGATCTGGAGCTTTGCTGGACCCATCGCTACGGTGGTGTCGGTGAGTGTTTCTGTTTATCACGTTTATATCGTAACTCAAAATGGTCCACAGTACCAGTGATACCTGGTAGATTTTCCTAAATTACCCTTTAAATTTCAAATTGAAAGAAAAACAAAATGGCAAAATGTTGCATGAATGTTTTATCATGTTGAGATTTACTTCTTTGTGACTCTCCTCCACAGATGAACATCTTCCTCTACATCCTGTCCTCCAGAGCCTCCTGCTCACTGAGACACCACAGCATCGAGAAGGAGCCTCGCGTGTGAGTCTCCTGACACTTTCACTGAACACAGTACAACCACAGACGTTTAATTTTGGAATTTTTCATTTGTTTATCTCACCATATTCAGACTTCTCAGCGACCCCAGTGTCATCTGCTGCCGGGGTTTAGACCCATCATTTTGACATTTATGACCTCAAAGAATTGTTTTCCATGTTTAAAATCTGGTCAAAATTCATAAAGTGGGCCGAATTGAACACTGTAGTGGGTTGGTTTTGGCCGACGACCCTGGGTTAAGCGATTTATAAACATCAAAAAATTAGTAACAATCGTAAAAAAACAATTCAAATTATGATCAGTTTATAAACCATTTTTAATATAAAATCATGTTTTATTTCTAATCGAACTCTACAGCCCACAACAAACTGTAAAAGTATTTAGAGAACCATTGGAATGTGCAAGGTCAAAGGTGACAATCCTGGTGGTCATACTGTATGAATTACAACTACATTAAAAAAAAAAAAAAGTCATTGTCTCTTAACAAAGTGCGACACCAAACCGATTCACTACGGCTCCACGTCACGTTAGTCTACTTACTGTCAGCGTTAACAGACACAGTCAGCCATTGTTGACAATCCTCTGCATTTATGTCTGACCAGTACGTGACCAGAGGACGGACATGCATGAAATGATTCGACATCGGCCAGGAGATCACGTGTCACAGGGAAAAACCCGGAGGGGGAAAAAAAAAGTTTTGTGAGCAAAAATAAAACCAGAGAAAACCTCAGAATCCTGAACAATGACATTTCATGCCCAATGTCCATAACGGACACTGAATAATGTTATGTAATTTTCAAAAAGGAAGAACATTTTTACAACAACTCGTACCTCGGAATTATTCTCACCAAAAACTATGAAGCAGTTGTAGATACTTTGAAATTACACCATGAATTTGAATCAGTCTGGGAGCTGAAAAATATACTTAGCTTAGCTAACATAATTTAGCCTAGCTCCTAAATTAAGGTATCCTAGCTTAGCTTAGCTTAGCTTCGGTTATCCTCAAAGACAACAGTACTTCTAACAGAACACAAAGGCAGTATTTTTTGGTGTAATTTAGCCTCAGCTAAGTTCACTAAGTTAGCTCAGACGAGACCGACAATCGTAAGTAATAAGTTTATATTAGCGTCATAAGGAAAGTGAATGTTGGTGCGTGTTTTTATTTTTGTGTTTATCTATTCCACATCCCTAAGTCCGTCGTCCTAAAGTTCCCTGATTCCTCAGAGAACACCGTTCCACCCATTTCTCCATCCACTCCTGACTCCGGTCTTAACGATTTCTCCTCTGTATTTTTTATTTTTTTCAATAATTACATTTACATCGCTGACCGTTTCCTGTTTGTGTTTTTTCTTCATCATCTGTTGCAGTGCTGGCCTGAAGACAGCAGGTGTCGTCCTCCTCCTGGTTTCCGTCACCTGTTTCCTGGCGCTGTTGTCCGTTAACAGTGACATGATCATCTTCCATTACCTGTTTGCTGGGTTTAACTGTGTACAGGTGAGTTCTCTTCTTCCTGGACCTCAGCCAGCGTCACCACGGTACTTTTTTTGAGTTTGGTCCTAAACATTTGCTCTTCTTCCTCGCACCAGGGCCCCTTTGTTTTCTGCTTTGTTTTCAACAGGGAGGCCAGGAAGGCCATGAAGTCCTGCTGCAGCCGCAAGCGTCCGGATCATATGATCAAATCCAAGGCCTCAGTGAGTCCTCGCTGTGAAATTCTTCTGTTCACACTGACACCTTTGAAACGTCCATGCTCTGGTCACAAGTCAGGAGCTTCAGTGGAAACACTGATGCTATTGTGAGAGGGAATCACCCAGAAACATAAGTCCTGATCGACACAACGACGTTTTTACAACATAGTGGTCCTCGAGGGATCACAGCCATAAATATGAACAATTAGACAAAGTGAAAATTATTTTTTTGTGTCATTGTGGATTTTAAGAATATCTGTTCAAAAAAGTTGTCAACAAAGACTTGAGTTGCTCAACAGTTCATGGATATTAACAGTAGGTGGCAGATGTGTAGACTAGTGCCTACGCCACATGTGTCAAACTCAGGCCCGGGGGCCAAATCTGGCCCGCAGTGTGATTATATTTGGCCCCATGAGATCAAATGTGGACTAGAGTTGATGTTTACACAAAGTTTGTTTCAATATGAAAAAATTCTACATTACAGATCTGGAGAGAAGAGAAAACATGAACAATTGCCATGAATTTTAAGTTTGACCAACAGTGAATTCGAGTTTGACCCTCCTGGTCTCCACACTCAGACGTCCTTCAGTGTCAGACAGTAGAAGACGCAGCCCTGAGGGCAGACGGTGTTAGGACACAAAGACGTCCTGACCCCATGTGACTGCGTACATTAACTCAACACAGCCCTTTCTGAAGCAGCTGTGCCCAAGGGCACGTAGGTCACGCACAATTATCAACATCCTCCACCTCTGACTTTCACACAAATAAACTCGCATCGCACGCAACGCTCACATTAATTTAACTGCAAAGATTTAAAAAAAAGAAACATTGTCTTTGTCTCCACTGTGTTTCCAGACCTACAAATGCAACACCAACTACATGGATGGGAAGTTGTACCACCTTCCCTTCGGAGACTCCAGCGTGTCGCTGAACGGCACCATGCAGAGCAACAAGAGTCAGCAGAGCTACGTGCCCTTCGTGCTGCGGTAAAAAAAAAAAGAAAATCCACATCAATAATATCCTAAATTCTCTGACGACGGCAGCAGCTGTGAAACGACGTCTGCTGTGTTTTTCAGGGACGACGGGTTAAGTAACAGCCAAGCTCACATCGCTCTGAAGGACCAGGTGTCGCTGTTCCACGAAGATGAAGAACATCTGGATGGTATTTCTCTCTTCTGTCAACTTTTCTGTCCTTCATCCTTTCAGGTCGTTCATGAACTGACCGTCCGGTCGTTTCTCTGTGTAGATCCCGACAGCGACTCTGACAGCGACTTGTCCATAGAGGACGACCAGAGCGGCTCCTACGCGTCCACACACTCCTCTGACAGTGAAGATGACGAGGGCGCTCTCCCACCTGAGGAATGCTGGGAAAACCTAGCGTCAAATGTTGCCAAAAAAGGTATCGAAAAAAATGATCAGATGGAAAAAAAACCTTAAATGTTTCAGTGCAGTTGTCCGTGTTCAGCTCCACTCCAAACTGAAACTTTAAGATTCACGAGTGTCGTCTTTTTCTCTGTGTTTGTTTCCCAGACAACGGCCACAGTAAGATGTTCTGGCCCGGAGGTTACGCGGCAGTCGGTGACAGCGAGTTCCACAGTGGAGACAGACTGACGGTGGAAAGTCCAGGCGTTCGAGAGCAGAGCCTCGGCGGTGAGGCGCGGACTCCCACGGAGGAGCGAGCGCAGGAGAACGCGACGATGCTCCTGCCCAGTTTCAACACCCACCCCCACAAAGGTGACATTTACTGTAGATCTGGGGTGAGGTTCAAAATCTGACCCACGGCCGGTTTAGTATCGGTTGGATGGAGAAGACTGAGCAACCGGTTTAGTATCGGTTGGATGGAGAAGGCTGAGCAAAAAAATAAAAATAAAAAGTACAAGAATAAACCTGAACTTTTAAAGATAAGTTGGAACATGTGATGTCTGCTGCCATTCAGTGGCATCAACAGAAATTACACTCAATTTGTTGTTGTCATATTTGTCCCTCAGGCCATAGTTTGAACCTTGGACCAGTATTTGGCAGGCCGAATTAGATAGCCCAGTGGGCTGTATTTGGCCCACGGGCCATAGTTTGTCTGCTGTAGTTCGTGCCACATTAACTCTAGATCTATCAGCCAACTTCCTGTTGTCATCAGTGTCTTGTCGCCCGTTCTCCAGGGATCCTGAAGAAGAAGCAGCTTTCTCCAATCATAGAAAGGAACAGTGTGTGTCACGCCAACAGTGAGGCGTGCGGACACGTCCCCGGTACGGCGTCTCCGCAGGGGTCCAGCTCCAGTAACGGTCGGACTGCTCAGTCCAAGCCCAGCGTTCCTGATAAGCTGAACGGCGTGGCCATGAGCATCAAGGCAGGGACGGTGGACGGAGACTCTTCAGGGTCGGAGTGAGTACCAGCTCATCACAGTCTGTTCTCGTTGCTGTTTCCATGGTGTGTAGTCAGTGTCATCACATCAGTGATTCTGAACGTTAGCTGATGAATCAGAAACTATAACTACTGCAGTACGACGGAGTATTATGGCTGCATTGATAAATAAAAAAAAACAAGATAAAAATTACAAGATTGAAGGTTTAATTGACCAGAATAAAGTCGAAACAATACGAAAAAAAGTTTAATTTTATGAAAAAATGAAGTCATAATGTCACGAGAAAAAAACTCTAAACAATATAACTTAACAATTAATTTACAAAATCTTAATTATTCAGTTTTATTTTAATGATTTTTTTCTCATGGACCTAAAAAGTAAAAAAAGGTAAAAAAAAAAGTAAACAGGCCTTGGGTTCACTTCCCACCCCACCCCTGCAGGTGGCGCCAGTCCAAATGTTATTGTCTGTATCCTGATTGCACTGGTACAACATATAAATACGATATTAAACACAAACATCATCTTTAGGACAAGGACATAACACGAACGAAACAACCGCAACGGTGACGATGGAGGTTTTGGGTCGGGGAGTTGTGGGGAAAAAAATCTTAGGAGAATTTTTTATTTTAGAATCAATTTTTTTAACTCTTGTAAAACAGAAGTGAACGCGGCGTCGATGTCTCTCGTACAGACAAACGATCTTCACTAATCAAACTTCTTTGCCCTTTTCTCTTCCCAAAAATTCATAGATTTTTATTCTTTAATTTTATTCCATGAAACTCTGATCTAAACACGGTCAGGATGTCAGGATCGGCAGTCTTCAGTGTGGTCCGTCTGTCGTCAGACTGGTCCATCAGTCTTCAGACTGGTCCAGCAGTCTTCAGACTGATCCATCTGTCTTCAGACTGGTCCCTCTGTCTTCAGACTGGTCCATCAGTCTTCAGACTGGTCCATCTGTCTTCAGACTGTTCCATCTGTCTTCAGACTGGTCCATCAGTCTTCAGACTGGTCCATCTGTCTTCAGACTGGTCCATCTGTCTTCAGACTGGTCCAGCAGTCTTCAGACTGATCCATCAGTCTTCAGACTGGTCCAGCCTCCGTCAGTCTCCACCGTCTGTCCGTCTGTGTGGAAGCTGCGTCATGACATCTTGTTTATTTCTTTTTTTTTTTACCCTTTTTTTTTCTTTCTTTGTTCCCTCCACGTTTCCCTCCACCCATCCTCATCTCACACCCCCCCCCCCCCCCGCCTGTTCCCCAGCAGCCACTGCAACACCTCCATGTGACTGCGTTGACGGAGGGGTGTGTCTTTGCAGGTCATAGAGACTCTTCTTCAGCCATGACTGCACACAGGGAGCAGCAGCAGAAAAAAAGGAGTTCACCTCTGCAGCCTGGTCCTCTGAAGGAGTGTGTGTGTGTGTTTACGTACGTGTGCCAAACCTCAGGAGTCACTGCACTGGTCCACACTCATACACACTGACACGTGTCCCACTGTCCCCTTGAACAAATCAGTTGTTTACATACTTGAAGCAATGCACTTTTTAAAAAAAAAAAAAAAAATCACTGCCAAGATTTGTCGGCAGTTTACATTTTTGTAGTGGGTTTTTTTTTTGACTGCGGAACAATGAAGAAGTCATTTTTGAGGGCTGGGGGGGAGGAGGGAGGGTCGAGGGGTGAGGGGTGAGGGGTGAGGGCGGGAGGTTCAGTTGCAGACTTCAGAACTTTCAGGGACGTTCCTCTTTTTTCATGCAAACCTACTTTGTGGTTTTGTCTGTTTGTGAAGTTGTTGTCGTTCTTGGTGCCAGTCTGAGGTTTGAGGAGGTCGGACCCCCGGTCCCTGACTCCGCCCACTGGTCTGCGTCGTCCCAGAGGCGGTCGAGTGTCAGGCCGTCCACAGACACAGAGGCTGCTGGACTCTTTCTTTTTAAAAAATAAATAAATGAAAAAAATATCGTGGATTTGTATAAGCTACTTCAGAAATGGACGATATGTCAACGGACTGCTCCACCTTCAGGAGAGAAGGTGGTCAAGTTTTTTTTTTTTTTTTTTTGTAAATCAATGAGAGCACATTTTTATGGACATTAAAAACAACTCTCACTGGAACACGGTCATGCGACTAAACAGCTGTATTTTGTAGATTAGCTGCAGAGTTTGTTTATTTTTTTTTTTGTAAAGTAATGGAACATGTGCTGTAACTGTTTCATCAACACTGGTCAGAGAGACACAGAAAAGACAAGACAGCATTTCATTTATACCAAGGAAGTCCCAGATGAAGTTTTTATATTGATATCTGATACCAGTATTATCCAAACACTTCATTTATGATTCTGGTCTATCAGGAGTGATTTCAGCATATTTGGGAAAACCCAGGCATTGCGTTATCAGGTTTTTATTATCAGAGGAAAAACGGATAACGATTCTTACAGATATAATTATCGGTCGACCGACATTATTGGACATCCTTTTATGTAGTAAATATGGTATATAAAACTTCTACCGTGTCGTACTATCAATCTGTTTTAGTGGACAATAAAAATACGTTGGTAATAAGAAATGGATCATCAATGCAAGCAGGTTAGCTGGGATTAGGGCTAGGATTAAATAAAAAAAAAAGAAATAATTTTCAAACAATTCAATCCCCTTGTCATTTGCAGATAAGTACTGATCAGTGAAATTCTTTATTGTTGTTTCTGTGACATTGATCATCCATATGTAACTGAATGGGTGCGTCTCCAAATGTAAATATATATTTGTAAAGTTCATTCACAGGTCTACAGACAGTTCTTTTATCAAATCCTCGAATATTTGTCTTCTCTGCAGAGCAATTCTTTTGTGTATGTTTGTAAATTTCATATAAAACTCGACTCGTTTGTGTCAGCGCTGACATACGAACACACACAGATACGTCTGTTTCTCCTGTTTTTAATGATTAAACTGTTTTGTACCTTTTTCCATCTCACTGTGGTTCTCCACTAAAGAACAATCATGTTCTTCTTGCTCCTTCATCACAGCTCTTCACAGAGGTCGACCTCTTACTGATACAAAATTGTTTTTTTTTTTTTTAAAAATCTAAAAACAATTTTTTTTTGAAAAAATCCATTGAAAAAAATGATTTTGAAAAATCCTTAAAAAATTTTTTTTTTTGAACAATCAAAAAAAATTTCTTTTTTAAAAAAAAAAAATTTGTGTCATTTTTGGTCAAAAACTAAGGTAAAAAGGTTTGCCAAAAAAATTTATAAAATTATTTTTTATAAATGTATCTTTTCTTGCCTGTTTCTCATAAAATTAGGACATTTAGAAAACATTTTTAAAAAAATTTTTTTACAAAATTTTCTGTCAAAATGTGAATCTTTTTGTCATTTCCGGTAAAAAACTAAAAAGATTTGATGAAAATTTTTATCAAATTATTTTTTAAAAATGTATCTTTTCTTGCATGTTTTGTCATAAAATTATTTCCTTTTGAAAATATTTTTACAAAAAATTTTTTATAAAGTTTTCTGTCAAAATGTGAAGTTTTTGTGTAATTTCCGGTCAAAAACTAAAAAGATTTTGACAAAAAAATTTGTAAAATTATTTTTAAAAACTTTGAACTTTTTTTTGCATGTTTTGCATCATTTTGTTTCATTTCCGCTCAAAAACTAAAAGATTTTTATGATAATTTTTTGTAATTTTGTAAGAAATGTTTTGATGTTTTCACGATGGTAAGGCT